CGATTTTGCACACTTTGGAGTTTTTACGATTAGAACAGCATCATCCTGTTTCTGGTAGGTTTCAACTTCAAAAATTCTAGAACTATAAAGGAATCGCAGTCCTTTTTAGGGATTTATCAGTTCGGCATCCCTAAGATAACATCAGCGTGCATCTGCGATTGTGCGGGAGGTGATGCACCTTGCAAAATCGAGCAGTACAATTACAGGTAAGTCTCTAATTTAGGTCTTATTGACTTACTTGTAAGTTAAAAGATGGTAAGGTAATCGACTGATATCAATAGATGCTCTGTCAAAAATAAAAGCACTAATTTACATTAAAAATTACGATCTGATGTTCTAAAAAATGTTCTTAATCAATGCAGATGTTCTGAAAATTTGATATTTTCTTCCTACTGCCAAATGAAATAGTGTAACGAATCAATTTTCTACCAATACTTATTTTTAAAATGTATGCTTACTGACTATAGTGTTATTCTTCCGAATTCGTCTTGTCGAGCTTTATGTTAACAGAATCTTTAGAAACTGCTCATCCGGAGCGCTATGTTACCGCACCTATCATCCGGTCCAATCAAATGTTGGATGCATTGGAGAGCAGAAAAGTGAGGCATGTTGTGAACTGCGCATTGAACCCTACAAAGACTGGATCTTCACTGCCATCAAGATCGGTCAACCAGCCACGATTCTCGTTTTCAGGTAAGTTCAAAAAAAGGCAAAGTTGCTTTCTTTACCCGATTATCTCCACCAGATGCAGTTTGCCTTTATAGATATAGCATCTATGATCGTTTTAACAAACGTTGGCGTAAAGCCTCTGAAGAGGTCGTGGAAGTCCCGTTGAATAGAGGTCTTTCAAAGTTCGACTTCAATGGAAGGAATAAGATTGAAATGGTTGTGACGGGTAGTAGACCTAATAGAGAACTGCAACCGGGGATGTACTTTGTCAGAGAAGGTAACTATTAATAATGAAAATTAATTAAAATTCGTCAACAGAGGTTCCGCGAAATTTTTTGCAACATCGATCATTCTAAGCTATCCCGCGACAAAATGTTTCAATAGATAGCTTTTTCAACGAACTGTTCTATAATAGTTTTAAAAATAGATTTCAATTGTTTTCGTAGATCACATTTTACTCAAAAAATTGTTTAATCTAAACTCATGCTTGTTCAACTATCCTGACTCACTTGCTCTTCTTTTCTTCTTCGCAAACCACAATCTTCGTGTGTTCCAGGGACCCACGAAATTCGAGGTTATGTTCCCATCAATGAAGTTGGAGAGAGCAACTTGGAAAAATTAGGATGGATGAGATTCTCTGAAGGAAAATGGGATATCAGAAATGGAAATGTCAAGATCAAGCAAGCACATGTCAGTTTATTAATTCATTAGCTAACGGCCGGAAGCAATTTTAATCTTTGCTCAAATGCCTTTTCTATATATAGACTTGAAAAAGATCGAAAGGCCCAATGTTGCAAGAGTATCCAAAAAAAAAGAAGTTTCGAAAATTAATAGACAACAGGCAGTTTTACGTTGACATATGAATAAATACTATCAATCTGGCCCACTAAAAATAATGGAAAGTTATTTGCTATTACTAATTCTCTGTAATTTACAATTAAATCATTTCCATGTTAG